ATGGAAAATAGCCTCATAATTAAGGACATTGCAGAATCATTTTGATTATTTTAATTGTGAGACTTTTTTCCATACTGTAGGGAATATTTTACCCTCTAGGGCTTGTGAACAAGTCGGGAGTTCTAAATCGACTACTGCTCACGCGAGACAGTCCACTCTCTTCCGTCTCGGCAGAATGCTCTGGCCTGTGATCGATGTAACGACGCTCATTGTCTCGTAATGAGGCTGGGAGGGACAGGATGCCTGTGCATGTGCGTTTCGTATCGAACGAGGCACCACACATACACACATGCACACGTACTTGCCTATTTAACGCATGGAGATCCATCATCTGTCACGGCGAGCAAGGAGACAAAAAATGGGTTCGATCTGATGAGTTTGCGTACACGCGCGGGTATATCCGTAGAAATTCCGCGGAGCACGCGTCTGCGATCATTGAATTGCGACTGCGGTCGATTATACATGTCATATACACGCGATTCATGCTTGTACATCATGCACACGGTGCGTCGATCGCCGTGCTGCATTACGGGGAAAGTGCAACGACATCGACAGGTGATTCACCAAACAATGTAGAGCGATACGTCGAACGGCGCGGCGTGGCGGCGGACTCGCGGATAGATTACAGTTCGACGTGCCGCACAATGTGGTCTCCTTTCGAGCGTATCTCAATTCGAAACGCGAATCTAAGAGGTCTTTTCAGCTCGCGAGGAAAATCTTGCAAAATATTAACCAAGAAAGATGCGAGTGCGGTGTCGCCGTTTCATGAATACCAAATCACTGGACCGCGTAATTGGACGAAAGGCGTTGTGCTGAGAAGAAAGTAAATTCTGGGAGCCAGTCTCGAAGTCATTTCCGGCCAGTCGAAGAACCAAATGAGCCGCATCGTTCATTCGGCACGTCCGTCCGATTGTTACTTTTCTCTCTCAGATACTCGAATCTTTTTACCAAGGATACTGATAATCTTGTTTTGTCATTTTAAATTTAATTTTAAAAACCGGTGAAAGTGTCAGCTGCGGTCGGTGTTATAACGATGCCGATCGGTCATTGTGTTTTAGTTCCATTTTGTCGTAACTTGATTTTTAAACGGTTCGTAAGAAGATAGACAATTTACTCTGTTGGGAACCTGTCTGTTTAATATACGCAAATAGTGATTTTGGTTATATATCGTAATAAATATATTGGCAAAAAGTTTATACATTTTTACTGGGCAAATACGTTTGTCGAATGCAGCTGCTTAGTGTTTGATTCTCCCTTTCTAATTTATGCAAAGCTAATCTTTATGCAATACTAATCTTTAAAATAAAAATTATCTTTCAATGACATACATATGTACTACTTCTATTTTATGTTTTCTTTTAATCGATGCGGCGGTAATCATATAATCGTAATTCTTTATATACTTTGAAGTTTTGATCGAACAGTCCTGTAGAAAGATAATAATTTCTACTTTAATTTATTTTTGACTGATTACGATGTTTGAGATCTTTTTTTGAGACGACTCACACGCACGATGTTCAATTTGTATTAACATCATTATTCTCTCGATTCTTACTCGCGGAAAGAAGGAGAAAAAAATAGAAAAGATTTAAGTGCTCGAAAAAAGATCGTTGAATAAAAAGAGGATCGAGAAAGATGGAAGGAAAAGAAAAAAAGAGACAGAAAGAAACGGTGGGATGTAAGAGCCATGCACATTGGAGTGAGGGAGAGACCGGTATAATTATGCAATTTAGATTCAGCTTTACGATTCCGGTTTGGCTTTATTAAAAGCGAGAGTGGACGCGCGGTCTCCTCTCTCCGATCGACTACATACATTGCACGCGTGTGTGTCGCCAAGGGAAGGGATAACGCGTTCTCCGCATAAATACAGCATCGGAGAATCCCGCGAGGACATTACTCCGCGAGATGTTGCCATGAATCTTCCCGACAACGCACGTTATACCTACTCGCGAATTTGGCAAATTCGCACATTATCTTTTTTAAATGAGAATTTTTGGAAAGAATTATTGTTACATATTTTGCAAGCACATGTAATGTAGCATGAGAATATTCAAAAGAGATAGGTGTATATTTCGATAGCGAGATGAGAATCGAATAGGTATAGCGTTATGCAGTCAGACTGAAATGCAAGTCACAAATAACTAGATAGAGAAAATATGTACCTCAATTTTTTTTTGTCGCAAATACGAAATGACTTACAATTCAATGACTCATCGTCGTTTTAACGAGTTCAATGCTGTCACAGACAGGGTCATGGATGACCGACACTTTCGCCGATATATCGTGGGAATCATTAGTGACTGGCAGTTATGTAGAGTCTCAGACGTATTAAACGATATTTTAACAATAAACTCTTTTATATGATTAGTTAATTTATTATTGTAATATTTTCTTCTCTAAAAACTTGAAATTTATTACTATTATGACTGAAGCATAATTCATAAGAATTTTTTAGATATTATTTTAATATTGCCTCGAAATTTTGATTACGAAACAAACAAATCATTATATCACAGTTCTCATAGTATGACATTAATATGAATAATTTTATGTTTTAGCAGTTAATAGATACTAATTGATTGTAGCCCATAATTAATTCTTTTCCGTAAATGTAAAGTCACGCGATACTCGCGCAACGTGTGAAATATATTAACGGCTCAAAAATAAACATGTATGCGAATACACAGGGATTAGAAAATTACCACGAAGTCCGTTACAACGGCGTGACGGCGCGAGCGCTAATTAATACGGCTCTCTTAACGGTGACCCGTTTCGTATTATTATATCCGTCTGAACCTGGCCGGAAAAAAATGCGCCTATCTTCATTACGTATGTATGCAAATCGGGGAAAAACGCTGAATGCCTGAATCGGCTGTGTCGTGTTAAAAGAACGAGGAGAAAAAAGTACAACCCGATTAAAACGGTGTGTTTAAAGTGTAAACTTCCTTACTGCCGGATTCCACTGAATCATAGCAATCGTATCGTCGATCCTGCGGGGATCATGCGATCGTAACATATTATTTTCTTTAATCTCTCTTGCCCTTTCTCTATCCTGCCCTGCCCCGACGTGAGACGACGATTATTCGAAATTTTGAACATAAAAGGAATTTGAGTGAGAAAATATTTTATTGAAACATAAACAAAATATCGGAAATATATGAACTTGATTCCAAGATAACTGGAGTCAAACAAATTTAAACTTTGACTTGGACGTAAGCAAAAGATACGTAATTCCAAATCAACTGTACAGTTTTTTCTCCAAATTAGGTAAACTATATCGATGTATGAAGTTCATAGATGCTACAAACTATAATCGTAGATCTTCAAAATCTGGTAACGCTTTAATAATTCTGCTATTATAGCAATCATCGCTATATCGCTAAAACAAGATTAAATTGCATTGTTGCGACGTGTTGGGGCATCGATAATCGCCATCGATAAGGTTACCCGTAAGGTCGTAAACTAAGGCTGGGTGAGCAACGAGCAACGTAATTACATTCCCGTTTTTCATCGTATCGATTAAAATGCTCTGGCTTCATTCGTTTAATTACGATCACGAAAATGGTCGCCTAGTTTGTTGTGACATAGGAACGACGTGTTGACCTCTGGCCTTCGATTTCCAGTATCACATTGTGTAACGGTCGTATAATCCCGCGGCATCTATACGTGATATTATAAGGGTTGGAGACTTGTCTGTTATTACAGTTATGTAGAAGTATTCGTAAATTTAACTTCCAGTGCCATGGTTTTGTAAAAGTTTAAGAAATAACTCATACATAAAATTTAAGAAGAAAGTAACGCATACTTCAATTAATATTATAATTTTGAACTTTTGAATGATAATTTGATGAAAAGCAAAAAAATTCTCAGTGATGGAGCAGACATTTCTGAAATTGTCTTATTTCCTTTTTTACTGTTATTTTGCACAAGATATTTTTTAAAGTTTTAAAAATCATTGATTCTAGGAACAGCAGTTCTGTCGAAAAAAAAAACGAACTTTGATTTGTCGTTTCTATGAAAAATATATGTATGTACATACATACAATAGGAATACGTAATTCGATTACCTATTTGAATATTGTACAATGACGCATGATGATACACGTTTAAAGATTCGAAAGAGTTCATTTGCACTTTAACAAGCTCTTTTAATTTCAACTGACAACTCCACCACCCCTAGATCGTTAAATCGTGGATTTACTGTGTAAGAAAGCAACTGTACCTCCGCACCGCGTCTTGCACGTATGTCGGAATTTCTGGAGAATTCGTGCGAATTATGACCAGACAATTATCGTATTATACATATTCATGCGCGATGTAACGAATGTTCGGGGAGTCGCCCTGTGTACAATTTGGTGGACCACGAGGGGCCAGCGAAAGGTCAACGCACGATCTTTTGCTTTCGGGTCCTCGAAATTTATTTGATCCCCCTTCGCGCTGCGCCACTCGCATTGTCAGACCGTAAATATCGCGCGGACCCGGTTTAATTATGCGCTGTTTTCGCGTTCCTCAACCGAGATTTCAGTGATTAACCCGCTGGGGCTACCGTGCGAAGTTATGGGATGTTCGGCGCGTCTCCGACGCTTTTTACAAGGCGAGCGTTCCCCTGTGTAATTAGGACATTCCGAACTTTTCGTCTCGCGAGATCTTTTCTTCGTACAAAGGAAATTTTATCAAATCAATTTTGCACAAAATATTTAATTTTCTAACACATTTGACAGAATATGTTTTTGTTATTTCGGCTGTTTTTAGATTTCGTTAATTTATTTGTCATTTGCCGTGAAATATAACTGTCCTATTAATTATAATTTATATATGTATATTTAGAAGAGATATAATAAATATAAACTTTTAGTGTCGTCTTCATTTATTTGATACAGTGTATTATACGTGTGGATTTTTTTAAATTCCACTTGAATAAAAGAAAGTTTCGACGATTTGATTCAAGAGTATAGTTAACGAAGTTCTTGTTTGATAATTTTTTTTATTATTAATTACAGTTATCAGCCTCGTCGCCTGGAGCTATTTCTTCTGTGGTTGCTCCGATACTTTTGAAATATCGAGTTTGCAGACCTCGATTGCTGCTTGCTGGATCGAGGGCCGAGGTTGATCCCGCGGCCGATGTAGCCCTCTTGCATGGCGAAGTTCTACTTATCGAAGATTCTGCAAGGCAGTTCGATGCAATTGGAGGTAATTAATCCTAGTCTTTTCATATTTTATACAACCTGTATTCTTTAATGTGAAGAAATTATATGAAGCTAGAAAAATGAAGTTTGTTAAATGACTTAAGATTCTATTAAAATTATTAAAACCTACAATATATAACATTCGTCTAATTATAGTTTGCATAATTGCTTAGAGTCTGATTATCTGACGTTGTTCTTAATCAAAAAATTGTGCTTATCTACAATATTTAAATTATATTTATAACAATAAATTTATACAAATTTACAATAACATTTTACTCCATAGTGAGAGGAAACATCGTTTGCAGGTATCATACGTGTAACGAAATCGAAATGGAATTGTTTTGCAGATACAGATCGCAGGTACAGGGCTACAGAGAAGTTGTTACATGCGGAAGAAGAGTATCAAGAAGCATTGTGTAGTGCCAAAGAATTATACGCGCGCCCGTTGGCACGGAGTTACCCCGAGTTTCACGATGTCATCTTTCAACCCCTCGCAGATTTGTCGCGAGTCAGCGCGGAGCATTGCCAGAGGGTGAGTCAGTAATTATGCTACAATGCAAATTTTATATGTATATTGAGTTCGAGGCGTTATATAAAATTGCGAGAGAACTTTGACGGAAATATTGAATCCTAAAATATCCGAAAAAAATACAAGTAAGAGTGCAAGATCTACGGTTTGCGTTGTACGTTACTGAACGCGTGTGCGTTCTTATCGACGGACTAGACCTCGAGTGAACGAAAAGCACATTGAGCAACTCCGTGGAAGATGGCGGCACATGAACTGACTTACCTTGCTACACACCTGTTGCTTCTGTGAAGCACCTTGCCTTTCTCCGTCCATCGTATGTCGCAATTGGTAGCGCGAGTCACCAGTGGTAGCGCAACCTTTCCGAGAGAAAGACAGAAAGTATGACAGGACGCTAAATAGTCAAATGTAAACTGCGATAAGTCAAACACATAGATCCTGATATTATTGGTCTTTCCTCCTCTGTTAGGATCGATATTTTTTAACGGCAATTTGAGGAAGCAAAAATGAACTATCTCTTGAGATATACAGTTTTAATATTAAATACTTTATTGATCGAACTTTGAATTAAAATTCTAATAAAACGAAATTCACATAAGATTAAACGAAAGTAGAAAGTTTCAGTATCAATGTAACAACACTTCTGATGTTAAATCTGTACAAATCTATTTTTACTCGTTTATTATTGAAGAACTATCGATACTTCGATATGGAAACCGTAATCGAGAGAAAGTATACAACTTTATAAGGCAGAAATGAATTCTATGATCTACCTACTTATTTGTCTTATTTAAACGTAATATATAGTTATAATATTATTATAGAAATAATCTGGTAATGTCTATTTAAATTATAGTTCATCGTAGATCATTTCTTTCAAATAAGAAAATATTAACTGCAGCTACGGCTATATCTTTCAAGAATATAAAGCCAGCTTGATAATAAAAATCTTTGAATTCGATAATTTTCTGTCATTTCTTATTTTTATTCGAACGTGCGGATCAATAAATAAAAATTCAATTTTAAAGCCACGTGAATCGGTCGAAATTTCGTGGGTCCAGAGCGATAACAATTCGCGTGTTTTCTGAAAGTACGATCGATAACTATGACAACGCGTACGAATGTATGCTGATAAACGGATGCGATTTCTGACACGGCCTGAGGCCAGGCACGTATCGGGTCGCATTCAGCAGCGGCAACAGCAGTAGGATTCATATAGGCGTGTAGCGCGACGGTGGACGTGTTTTCTTTAGGGCTGACAATAAAGAGAGGATGCCTGTCCTTCGGATGTAAACACAAAGCCGCGCCGGCGGAGAGCCGGCTAACGAGTCGGGATGAGCGATGACGGTGGTTAGCACCCTCATAAATATTGACTTTTACAAGACGACGAGCGGCGTACGTACGTATGGTACTCGGGTCTCGGGTCTCGAATCGCGGCGACGGCACTACCTTCGAGGCTGTGTGCAGTGTGCACCTCGCAAGCAACAGCCTCGTAAAGTGAAAAACGTCCGCGGCGCGGAGATCGTTGCGCGGGATTCGCGAGGCGAAACCGAGGGTGGAAACGCCTACCTTCTTTATTCTGTGCTCTCAACATCGCGGCCATCAATAACAAAGTTGCCGTGCAAGCTGCAAAAACGCTGCAAAAATCGGAGGTCTCTCTCTCTCGCGCTCTCCCCATTCCTTTGTCTCTCCTTTACGCCCTGTGCGTCTCTCTTCTTCTTTGATCTTCCCTCGCGGTGAATCGTGTTCCTGTATCGAGAAAGATTATTGCGGGCCGCCGGATATTAATTGTAGCGACTTATGATCTCCTACGCTACGTTCGTTTTATTTCCCTCCTGACTCGCCTGGCCGGAGTGACGTTTTAAGCAGCGTTGCGGCGGCAGACCTTGGACCGACGCCGACGTGCGGTACGATTTACATTTTATTTTAATGAGCGCATTAAACGGTTATCGGTTACTTCGATCGGCCTGTTCGCAACCGCCGCCGTTGCCGCTGCCGTTCGCGGAGATGATAATTTCGAGAGAAAAATCCCGCTGATGGGGGATGCTACACGCGACCTTCATTCCCGTGACTGGCCAACTTCCTTTTGGGGCGAGCATCGTGATTAAGACACTATCTTTGCCGCAGACTCAACTTTTGTGGGGCATCGTAATCGACAGATCGAATCTGCCGAGACTCGATCCTCGAAGTTACGGCCGACTTGACTCGTAAATACTAGCAATAATGAGAACAATCGTAACAATAATAATAACAACAAATATTATAGCTATACGATTCAGATGCGTGTGTATCTGCAGATAGTGTATGATAACATGTAGGTATAACGCGCATAATACGATTTTTATTTGTTTGCTAATTAAGTAATATTTTTTTGAATTTACGTTTAAAATTATTATATATATATTATTAAGTCATTTATAGCGTTGAGCTTTTTTTTAAGCTAAAGCAAAGCGGTAACTTGTTGCGCAACAATAATGACTTACATATATATCAAAAGATATCGATCAATGAATAAGCGTAGCACGACGCTCGTGTAATAAAGCGACGTCTTAACTCGATGGAATTTCGGACGGAGAACGCCAGTCTCGTATGGCCGAAACTGGTTTATCTCTGGTCGAAGGAAGCGCAAGCCGTGTTTTGTATTTCGCGTGGAGATTTACCGCGGAGCGTTTACCGAATTTTAGTGCTATAAAGATAGTGTTGCGGGTTTCTCGACGCGATACAAAAGCGCGCGGCCCGAACCGCAGGTTAATTAGCGAAAACGCTCGGGATCGTTCTCGCCGTTCTCGAGGAGGGCATCACGACCAATCTTTCCCGTCTTCGTCCTGTACGCGTCGCTCGCTTCTTCTCGACGCGCTCTTTTTATTCAGAACCCGTTGCCTGCTCCTCATCGCGGCCTGCGCCGCTGCAATTTTACTTTGGAGGCACCTCGCGGTCACCCAGAGGGCAATTAGAAGCAATCGCGCATCTGGAAGGCGAGGGAGAGACGTATATCTATCTTTCTTCGTCCCTCTTTTCGTCTCTTCCTCTTTTTCTTTATCCTCTTTCTCTTCTTTTCTTTTTTCTTCCTCGGTAGACACGCGAATAACAGAGGTGCTTCTACTTTATTTGTCTCTTCAAGCAGCTTCAAAAGGATTGTTCCTGTGGAGGTGGGACTGTTGACGAGAGAATATCCTTTCGGTGTTGCTTTCTTAATCTTTCGCGGTACTATGTCAGGAGATGAACAATTCGATGTAGAAGTTGTTTAAATCAATTCTTGATTGAGACACTTATATTTATATATAATTCTTTAATATAAATATGTTTAAGATTGAATAAGAAGAAATTATAATTTGCTATTTAAGTTAATCTTGCTACATATTACAGTAAATTGTTACAAAAAATTACTTTCTGATAAGTTTAACTTTTTTTTAATGTATTGCATCATAAACAAACGTTCAAGTTAAAGAAGTTGTATTATTACTATACGGTAGCTCGGATAATAAACATATCGAAACGATTTTTCTCGACAAGTAGAAACAGTCTGAGTATGCGAGGTTCAAGCGAGCCCGATAATGATCTCCTGAAGAGAATTTTAATAAGAGCGGTTCAAAGTTTCGTTAGCTCTTCGTCAAAAAAGAAGTTTCGATCGAAGTGAGCGGCTTTTTTCCGTCGAATCCGGCATGCTTGTTGATGTTTGACTGACGAGTCCATGCCATGCAGAATTTTGAAGAGATAGAGGAAGAGACAGACAGACAGCCGATGGTGCTCTTTGTCCTGATCTCGCTGGTTGCGTCGCCGTTGTCGTAAATTACGTTTTTGCTCATTGCAACGCAATGTTACGGCAGTCGCGGTCGGTCGTTGCGGTGGTGCAATGGAGAGGAGCTTAATACGACGGCTTCCGCGCGATGCAGGTGCGTCGCGCGAGAAACGCGCGCTGCGCCGCGCCGTTCCGCGAGAATGCGGCGCGACGCGTCATCCGGAGACCAACGCCCTTCTACGTCGTTTGTATTTTTGCGAGCATGCGGCGATTAACTTATTTACCGCGGCAGCGGCAGCGGTAATTAATTCGCTTGGGAATCGTAGTTTCAGGAAATCGGTCGGGCAGAGATTAATTGCCGCGATTGCGGCTGCGCCGCGATGCGCGATTCGCGTTCGCACGTTTTACCTCCTCACCTCGCGCACATCCGGAGTAGATCAAGTAACGCACGAGTTAACCGTCTATTGAGTTTGCGTCAGTACCATCGTTCAATTTTTCTATTAATTTTTTTATTTTTACAACCGAAATTTCACGAAAAATAAGTACTTTTAATCACGATTTAATGTATTCTTGTTTTTAAATAATTTAAAGTTTTTTGTGATATTTTAGTATATTGGCAGATGAAAGTTAAAAAAGCAGCTATATTTAAACTTTTATTCCTCAATTTTTCTTCTTCAGATTTGACATAATATTATATTAATAATATACCGATTTTTTAATGAAAGCATTAAAAAAAGGAATTAATGACTCAAAGATTATTTAACAAAACAAATTGCAGTTAAGGGTCGTTAAAGACTTAACGGATTGCATTTATCTCATGGAAAGCTGGTGAAACTGAGCGTTTAAAAAAAATTGATAAAATTACGGGCGAACGAATGAAAAATCTGCGCGCTACACCATCAGGCTGGTTGAAGGTGGACGGGCACCGCACCTGCAGGGCAATGCCTCCTCTTCGTCGGTCAGAGCGCGCGAGAATGTGAAAGCTGCACTTGAAACCGGCGGTTTTGCACCGAGCGCGATGACGCGTTTTGCCCGGATCGCTCTTCTTGCGGCCCGTTGTCAGAAAATTGCGGTGAGAGCCGACCGACAGATTTCCGTGTTTCGGGAATCGTACACGTAGCGAAACAAGGCGAGACGAGGCGAGGCGAGGCGCGTTCCAGTCGCTGATCAATCCCAGTGAACCTTGACCCACAGATTTGTCCGGAAGCACATCCATTTCGTCGCGGTGAGAAATCGATTCTCGTTTTTGGAGCGCGATGAATTAGCG